CTTTCTTTTTTTTTTTAAGGCTGAAAGGGAGGAATAAGACTTAAAAAGGAAGAAATGAATTATTAATCTTCAAGATGCAGTCAAATTATTGCTATGACTTTTGAGCCTTTCAGAGCTATTTAAACTAAGATTGGTCATACAAGTGTGATTTCTGAGTTGGCACTGAAACTCCAGTATATGTAGTAAATTTAAAGAACCAGAAGGGGGGTTATGAACAAATCATCAAACTTATGAATAACACAAATGTACCACTAGCACATTAGAAATTAGTTTTCGTGATAAAGCCATTCATTTGAATGTGTTTGGGAAGTTTTTAAACTCAAAAACCAACACTTGATAAACTGTATAATTAACGGTATTGACATGTACAGTATGCTACTTTAAAACTCTCCTTAGAGTTTTACCAGACTTTTTGTCTTTCTTCCTATAACAGAAAGATATCAGGTCTACATACGTTTATATAATTTTAAAACTAAATCCATGTTAAGAAGAAAAGCAAACCTAAAATTCCTTCAGTTGGAATTATTTTTCTGCGAGTTGTCCTAATAGAAGTATCATGTTCCTTACACAGCAATAAGCTAGCCACCTACAATGACATGTTCCACATAGTCTTTCAGCCCGTACTTTAAATATCCTGGGTTTTATGGGATTTTGCCATTACCCTGTTACACAAAGTTATTTCTTTATTTTTCCCATTTCAACATCCTATAAATCTACTTGTCTCTTTTTGGAACTTCTTTAACATTATTAAGTTTCACAGAAGGAAACAGTACTCCAAGCTTGTTTCCCTTGGCGCCAGTCTTTACTTCCAACAGTGAGCATAAATGACTAGTCCCAAAAAAAGTCATCAAGAGAGAATTTATTCCTACTACAATAATAAAAATATTCTGTTTTCTTCATTTTTCTCCCATTCTCAATGTATAATTGCTATCAGATGGCCTCCACTGGATCAAACACACACTCTACTGTTTCTCCAAATGTGTAAGGATGTCATCAAGTTTCTGAATGTAGATCATGTCCACTTCATTCCAGGTCTCACATCTGGAGATAATTCTGCAGTGACTACCATCAAAAACTGAGAGGAGCCTTTGCCTGCCTTCATCTGAAGCATTCTCCTCAGTGCTCAATGAAAACATGGGTTCAGCCAGGTATTATGGTGCATGCCTATAATCTCAGCACATGGGAGGCTAAGGCAAGAGGATCACAAGTTCAAGGTCAGCCTGGGTTACATATAGAGATCCTGTCTCAAGGAAGCTAACTAAAGAAACAAATACCAAAAAGAAAGAGGGGGAGAAGAAGAAGAGTGAGAGAGAGGGAAAAGGGAAGAGGTGAGAGGGAGAGGGGAAAGAGAGAGGGAGAGGGAGAGAGGAAGGAAAGAAGAAAAAAGGAGGGAGGGAGGGAGGGGAGGAACGAAGGAAGGAAGGAAAGAAGGAAGGAAGGAAGGAAGCTGGACTCACAATGTGTTAATATTTTTAAGGAGAAGATTTAAGTGAGGAAACAATTCAAAGAATAGCAATGAAAATCACAGTCAGGACATCAAATACCACAACAGGGCTTCATTTCCTTGGAATCACAAAAATTTCCATCCATTATTGTTTTGTCTTGTTTGGAAAACATTATCCTTCCTTGGTAACAACATTCAAGCAAAAAAAAATGTAACTATAGATATACAGATATGATTTTATTTTTTCTATTTAAGAGAAAACAGCTATGTAAGTGGTGTTGGGAAGTTGATGAGCACTTGGGGCCACTTGTGAATCTTTTTTTTTTAATTTTTATTTTATTCCTATGTGCATACAATGTTTGGGTCATTTCTCCCCCCACCCCCTCCCTTACCACCCATCCCCTCCCTCTCCCCCACCCCTCGCTACCCGGCAGAAACTATTTTGCCCTTATCTCTAATTTGGTTGAAGAGAGAGTATAAGCAATAATAGGAAGGAACAAGGGTTTTTGCTGGTTGAGATAAGGATAGCTATACAGGGAGCTGACTCACATTGATTTCCTGTGCCTGTGTGTTACTTTCTAAGTTAATTCTTCTTGAACTAACCTTTTCTCTAGTTCCTGGTCCCCTTCTCCTATTGGCCTCAGTTGCTTTAAAGTATCTGCCTTAGTTTCTCTGCATTGAGGGCAACAAATGCTAGCTAGTTTTTTAGGTGTCTCACCTATCCTCATACCTCCCTTGTGTGCTCTCGCTTTATCACATCATCAAAGTCCAATCCCCTTGTTGTGTTTGCCCTTGATCTAATGTCCGAATATGAGGGAGAACATACAATGTTTGGTCTTTTGGGCCAGGCTAACCTCACTCAGAATGATGTTCTCCAATTCCACTCATTTACCAGTGAATGATAACATTTCGTTCTTCTTCATGGCTGCATAAAATTCCATTGTGTATAAATACCACATTTTCTTAATCCATTCGTCAGTAGTGGGGCATCTTGGCTGTTTCCATAACTTGGCTATTGTGGATAGTGCTGCAATAAACATGGGTGTGCAGGTGCCTCTGGAGTAATCTGTGTCACATTCTTTTGGGTATATCCCCAAGAGCCACCTATGAATCTTGACACAACTATCACTCCCTGTGGTTGGTCAGTCACTCCAGATAACAGAAAGGTGCAAATGGCATATTCTAACAGTGTCAATAAAGTCAGACATTTCAAATTTATAATAACTCCACAACCATGGTAAATACCACTGAATTCTGAGTTAGCCATAAAAAATAGGGCCAAACCCCTAGAGTTTACCAAAAATGATAGGTACTGCTATTTTTATTTTTCCTCACCCATTTCATTCTTATAGGAACTGAAGCAAGGAAACCATACAGTGAAAAATGTAAGCATACATAGTATTTATATTTGCCCAGACTATCATGCTAGAAGTTTCTTACCTACCTTCCAGATAAGCCTCAGAGTACCAAATTATACTTGTGCATAGGTTCCTATCCCTCCCCTCAATTTACCAAATCCCTACAGTATTACTTTAAAATGACTAAAAATAAAACTTTTGAAATGACTTTCAATAATTCTTTTCCTCTAATTCAGCCATTATTCGTATATAGTAACTTTCAAGTTTGATGACTTGATAATCTCTCTACACATCCGCTTTTTGGGTGGGTGGGTGGGAGAGTGGGGAATAGAACTGCCATACAACACAAGTAAATGTTGCTGATGTTTTATGAGTTTTCAGGACTTTGAAACCAACTGGTATCAATACAGCCATAGTGAGACAACAGAGATGACATAGAGAAAGAAGATTCAGTGAAACAAGGGTTATATTAACAGTATGGTTAAAGGGCTGGATATAAGGCAATCTCAAACAGCTTTCCAGAGGAAAGCCTCCTTCCATTTTCTTGTACAGTATCTAATTTCTGGCTCCTCATTTCCTCAGTAATCTGATAATTATGAAAACTGAAATAAAGTGTCATCTTTCTTGCAACAAATCAGTAAACAGAAAGCTCCCATCAGCGATGCAGATGTTTGCCAAAGCTCCTGCTGATTATTTCCTGAATATCTACCCCACAAACCACATGCAAAAAGAGCAACCTTCTCTACTCCATGAGAAACACAGCTTCTGTGTTTGTGTGAGTGCATGAATTTCAAAAGAGCATTAAGAAGTAATATGCATTGATAGTAACGAGCGGCCATAAATTTGCCTTTTATTATCCATTTAATGTTGAAATTAGACCTTTCCAGATGCTGTGATAAAAATATGGAAAAGAACATAAATAAATATGTATATATGTCCATAGAAATATAGCAAAATTAGATTTGCATTCCTCATTTTATACAAACAGAACCACTATGTATATACCAAAATATTTAGGGCTTCCCTTAAACTGTAATAAAATTTGAAATAATTCTACCTTTATTCCTCATACTAGCTTCATAGTAATCTTATAATACAAAGGTAAACTTGTGAAAATGAAAAATTCTATGTGTTACTAGGCCTTCATTTGCATAACGAATCCTAAACTCATCTACTAATGAACTAACATTATGCAGAAGTTTGTTTTCTACACTCTTCCAGCCTACCCAAAATTATAGATATTCCCACTTTAAGGAAAAAAAAAAAAAACTTCCCATCTTCTGCATTTTGTTTGTTTCAATTATTCAGGACAACCCAGGCTGATAATTACACAGTCCCCAGTTGCTGAGTAAAAGTGATGCTTAATTAGCCAGCAGGAAAGATCGATTAAGATCCAGCAGGGCATCTTGTGAGGTTCTCTCACTTTCCTGAAGGGAAAAGATTCTGACTGTGCCCTTCTGAAGGATAAAATTCCCTGCTTCTAAAGGTTTTTAAAGTCGAAGATAAGAATCATCAGCCATGCAAATTAAATCCCAGTCCTGCATATACTCGCAGACAGTACTCAGTTCGAGCATCCTGAATCCCATCATCACCAGGTTGGAAAAGACCCAGTTAACATTTGTTTCTCCCCAGCTCTCACTCATTTACCACATTTCATGCAAGTAATGTTCAGAAAACATAAAGGAAGATTTGATTTCTTCTTCCCCCAACCAAGTATATGTACCTATCAGATGCACACATTCTGAAATGTGGCCTCTTATTTTGAAAACCCAGTCTGAGATGAAGACATTCCAATATGATCAGAGGATGAACTGGATATATCAAGTTTCAGCTTTCTTCAGTAAAATCAGCACCAAAGACATAATGAAAATTATCTTACGCTGCCTAACACCTTCCTTTTAGAAATTTGGGCAAGCAAAGATGTTTAGTTTTCATCATTTTTTGTTGTTATTAATAAAGGCCAACATAAAATTCCAAAGCTATATGCAGAATAATTATCTTGAGATGCATAATTATCAAAACATTTTTATTGATAAATTACACTATGCTGGCTGCCTACCTCCAATTCAATTTAAGTATAAAGAATGATGACAAATGTGTCTTACTTTCTTAGTTTATACACTACTAAAGTAGAGTCTACTGATTGTAAATTGGTTTAAAGCTTAGAAAGGAGCATCATGAAACCAGTTTATACAAACCTAGCCTTGAGTTGCTGAAAGCCCCGTAGAATGTAGTCTCTGTGGTCCCTCACACCAGGACTGAGGCTCTCATTCCGCAAACCTTCTGCCAGGAAATCTTCAGTATCTGAAAGAAAAGAGAAAGTGGTGGTCAACAGAAGAGAGGATAAGGGAGAAAGAGGGCAATCTGAGGGATTAAGAAATGACTATTGTTTTCTTTTTAAAAAATTTATAGTTGGAGAAGAATGTAAATGTATATGTAAAGCCACCGAGCTGTATGCTGATTAATAGTTGATGGTGAATTGTATATTATGTATCCCTCACCATAATAAAGAATAACTAAATTTTGTGTATGTTTATAAGTGCCATGTTCTAAAAATCCAAAACCTTGCTATGAATTTGGAAAGCTAGTGTATGTATTAACCACATGAAATAACCTTTCTAGAACACTTTAAAGAAATACATATTTAATTATCACTGATGGTAAAGGATGGACTGACAATTTCACAAAGATATAAATATTACAAATAAGGTCACAGACCATAGGAACTAGAAAAGAAATACCAACGATTAGAGCTGAAATAAATAGAGCTGAACTGCAAAATCAAGAAGGAAAAGGTCAGGCGTTCAAAGGAGAAACATTACTTAACAGATGCATCATCAATGAAAATGACAATGCAACCAAGTGAAGGAAACCAAATGGAAAAAAAAAACGTGTCCAAAGAAGGAAACTGCAGTTAATGTGAACATACAGTATAAAATAGGGATGTGATGGAAATACACAGTATGAAACAAATCATGTTATGCTGAAGGAAGAAATTATGGGGGATATACAAATTCCAATGACAAAACATATTGGTAATTATTATAATTGCCAGAAATACTAGCTATACACTTTATTCTGAACAAAATGTTTACCATCCCTAAAAAACACATAATTAATATAGTTAAATTTTTCTGCCTCCAGAAGTTGTGCCTATAGTATGAAACTGTATCATATATACTATCAAAATAATGCTGTGAACTTATAAAGTTGGGTTACATTAAACATTTAAAAAGTTTCTTTTACATTCACACCATTCAATAGTACGAAACAGCCAAGCTCTAATGACTCATGCCTATAATACTAGCTACTCAGGAGGCAGAGATCAGAAGGATCATAGTTTGAAGTCAGCCCCAGGCAAATAGTTTGTGAGACCCTATCTTGAAAATACCCACCCCCAAAAAAGGCTATTGGAGTGGCTCAAGTGATAGAGCACTTGCCTAGCAAGCATGAGGCCCTGAGTTCAAACCCCAGTACCACAAATAATAATAATAATACCAAACAAAAAATACTAGATAACCATCTCTAGGACTTTTGATAAAATGATGAAATACAAAGCTCTGGAAATAGAAATTGTCACATAGAACCACCATCAACATCTAAGCCCCGCATTGCATCTACTACACATGTCATTTAATGGATTCCTCCAGGGACCTTTGAATGCTGAAGAACTAAAAAATGGTACATTGAATTAAAAGGTAAAAACAAATGGCATCAGAGACTCAATGCAATATGTCATGTTAATAGAATAAAGGACAAAAAAACACATCTCAATGGACACAGAAAAAGCATTTGACAAAATTCAACGGCCCTTCATAATAAAAAAAAAAAACACTCAATAAACTAAGAATTTAAGAGAGCTTCCTCAGCTTGATAAAAACACCTAAGGGCCGAAGGTGTAGCTCAGTGGTAGAGTGTATACTTACCATGTGTGAGGCTCTGGGTTTCATACACAACACCATAAACAAACAAAAAACCCATAATTCACATTGTGCTTAGTGATGAAAGACTGAATGCTTTACCCTGTTCCTAAAATCAAGAATAAGACAAGGATGTCTGCTCTCATTATTTCTACTAAACATTGTACTAGTGATGCTAGCCAAGGCAATTAAACAAGAAAATGAAGTAAAAAAAAAAATCCACATCAAAAAGAAGTAAAACTATCTCTATTTTCAAACAACTTGATCTTGTACATCGAAAACCCTAAGAAATCCACTAAAAATCTTTTAGAATTACTAAGAGTTCAGCAAGTTTGTAGGGTACAAGACCAACGTACAAAAATCAAATACATTTCTATATCATAGCAATGAACAAACTAAAAATAAAGTTAAATAAATTCCATTCAAGATAGGATTAAACATAATTTAAACTTAAAGATAAATTTTCTGGGCATGGTGGTACATACTTGTAATCCCAGCTCTCTGAGGCACAGGCATGAGCACAAGTTTGAGGCCAATCAGGGCTATAGTCAGAATTCAAGGTCACCCTGGGCTACACAACAAGACCATGTTTTGAAGAACAACAATAAAAAATTTAACAAAAGAAGTACAAAACTTAAACAATGAAAAGTACAAAACATCATTTAAGAAATTAAAAAGACCTGATGGGTGTGGTTGTGCACAACTGTGATCCCAGTACTTGGGAGGCTGAGGCAGGAGGATCTCAAGTGCCAGGCCACTCTGGGCCATATAATAAGACCTATCTCAAAAAGAAAAATAAATTAAAGACCTAAATGAATGGAAAGACAGCCTATGTTCATGGATTGGAAGACTAAATATGTTAACATATCAATGCTCCTCAAATTGCTCTAAAGGTTTAACCCAGTCCTTTTCAAAACCCTGGCTAGCTTTTTTTTCAGAAATTCATAAAATTCATTTGGAAATTCAAAGGACACAGAATAGCCATACTGAAAAAGGAAAAACAAATTTAAAGGATTCACACTTTTTGATTTAAAAACTTACAGCAGGGGATGGAGATGTGGCTCAGGTGGTAGTATGCCTGCCTGAAAAACTTACAGCACTCCAGACACTATGCTACTAGCACAAGGATAAACATATAGATCAAAGGAATAGAACTGAAAATTCAGGAAGAAACTGGCACACTTGTGCTCAACTTTTGGCAGGAGTGCTAAGACTAGCTGAGCACAGTGGCCTACATCTGTGATCCAAGCTACTCCAGAGGCTGACCAGGATCACAAGTGCAAGGTCAGCCATGGCAAGTTATCAAGACCCTGCCTCAAAATAGAAGGGGCTAAGGAAGTAACTTGGTGGCAGAGCCCTTCTCTAGCACACATGAGACCTTCATTTCATTCCCCAATACTTAAAAAAGAAAAAAAAGTGCTAAGACAATTCAGTGAAAAAAGAGTAGTTTTCTCAACAGATGATGCTGGGGCAACTGAATATTCACATGCAAAAGAATGAAGTTGAACCTCTACCTCATACACTATGCAAAAATCAACTCAACACAGATCACAGGCCCCAACATAAGAGCTAACATACACAGAACGCTCAGAAAAAAACAGGCATACATTTTGGATTAAAGGAGACTGGTGGAGCATTAGGTAGACATTGCCAATCAGGTTGGCAATCAAGATTAGCCCTTACAACTACGATTTTTCAGAACATGAATATAACAAAGATTGAACTGAAGGTTTTGCATGTAGTATGTAAAAATGTAAAAAAAAAAAAGAACAATGTGGCATAAAAGTGGAACTAATAAGACAACATATCACTGGCGATAATATTGTAAAAAGTTAGCTGGGTGCTGGTGGCTCACGCCTGTAATCCTAGCTACTCAGGAGACAGAGATCAGGAGGATCATGGTTCAAAGCCATCCCTGGCCAAATAGTTCATGAGACTCTATCTCAAAAAAACCCAACACAAAAAAGGACTGGTGGAGTGGCTCAAGGTGTAGGCCCTGAATTCAAGACCCAGTACCAAAAAAAAAAAAAAAAAAAAGTTAAACTCCTACGGTAAAACAAAGAATTTTATACTTTTTAAAATTAAATGAGTTTAATTGCTATTTAAAAGATCCACATAAAATGAAACTGAAATGAAAAGAAGTATGTAAAATATCCAGGCAAATTCTTTTCAAAGCAAGAATAGTAATAATTCATATCAAAGTAGAATTCAAGGAAAAACTTAAAATAGGCCAAAGAGTCATTTTTTGAAACAAAGTATAATATTCAATAGAAATAGCCTATGTACTAAATAGCATAATACCAAAAAAAGTACAGTGAAAACTGTGAGAAATACAAGCAGAAATTGCTGATGAAAATAATTCCAATGCCACTTCTAGCCTTTAACAAATTGAGTAAACAAAAATAAGCACTATAATGATAAAGTCTATTCAGTAGGAACAGATGGCAAGTAATTAATGAGAAAATTTAAAAGTACCAAAAAGGAGATGAAATTAATTTTAATGATATTTATTTATTTATTTAATATAATAGATCTGAAATATGTAATCAATATAAAAATATAATGGGATATTTTGCTTTTTTGTATTAAGTTTTCAAAGCTCACATCTCAGTTCAGACTAATCCCATTTCAAATGCTCAAGAGTCACATGTGGAGAATGGCTACTACTTTGCACAGTGCAGATACAGAGGTCTGAAATAAATATGATTAACAGTGACAGCAGAGAGAAGCTAGACCTCGTCATATAGCAACAGCTATGGAAATTTTACAAAAATTGATTAAACAATGGATTACAAAGATACATCAATAATTTCTTTAAAACTCAGCCAAGTATGTAGGTACAGGCCTATAATGCCAGCACTCTGGAGGCTGAGGCAGAAGACTGCAAGTTTGAAGCCAGCCTGGACCACAGAGCAAGACCCTGTCTCAAAAAATCAATAATAATAATGATAAAACTCAGACATCTTATTTTGTGGCCACAATTAAATAAAAACAGAATATATTAAAAACTAAATAGATTCCTTCATACATAGACATTGAAAATATAAACTCTTACACTTATCCTGGGTCAAAGAGAAATTCAAAAATTATAACTGCCACCTAATGAGAAAACAGCCTTTATAAAATAGTATAATATAATATAACTAGCATTATGCAGTGACAAATTCACAAACCTGAATATTTTCAATATTAAACAAGAAAGAATGAAAACAATTGCAATAAGCACCAAACTCAAGAAATCAGGAAAGAATAATAAAATAAGCCTATGGGAAACAGAGAAATGAAACAGTAGAGATAAAAGCAGAAATTAATTACTCAGAACATGGTTTTCTAACTGTGCTCTCTGGAGTCATAAGCCTCTGATACGAAAGAGAAAGTGGGGCA